CCTGACAAACAATAGAAAATGTCCCTTCAACTTGGATGCTGCACTGGATCTCCTCCATTATAGTATGGTTATCATTTGACATCCTGTTTTATGTCTCACTAGTTGTGTAAGATCAGAGGGCAGTTGGTTAAATAGGATTATTTCTATTGTTATCTACTTAAAAGCATCTTGTATGATTTTAATGTGTGAATGGGACACATCTTATTAGAAAGGAGCTTTAAGGCAATGCTTTTTCAAAATCAGTAAACAGTACTCACAATAGAAGCTTATAATGTCTACATCTTTCAAACAATTTCAAAATGGCAAAAAAAAAACGATCTATTGGAGAATATCATTGGCAAACGTCTGTTCACTCTCTACTAATACTCCCATTGAAGATACTTTTGATTCATGTATGTATAGATGAGTCTTATAATGAGAAAGTAGGTATATAGGTCAAAAGTTGTCAATGTTCTCTCAGCCACTTCCACTCAGTATTTATAAGATCTGAATTTTTTTTTCACCTGTTTCAGGTATCTTGCATTTCAAGCATTTAAGCCCCTCACAAATATGTGACCTCCTTCACTTATGTCTTCTATATATTCTTGGTTCAATCTGACTACTTTTACCACCTGTATTCTTTTTCAGCAGCATTTCTACCTCTTCTCTGATCATATCTGAGACTGTTATTATGGTTATGTCTCCAAGATTCATGACATCACTGTCCTTTAGATTGAAAAGAGTTTGTCATATGAATCTTTGTGAATCCTTTCCATTTGTCTTCTGTTTTTCTATTCTGTTTCTAATTTTGCCCTAAAATGTTCTCAGAATGACTTTTCATGGTTATGTCTCTTGCTAAGCTTTGTTGGGGCAGGAAGGATGGGAAATACACAGTGTACTTCCTTCAAAGTTTTGCCTAGGGGAAACCTGGAGTGAGGGGATTGGGGCAAATTTGCTGCAAGCTTAGTATTGATATTAATACGTATGTGTAAACCTGAGTACCTTATGTCTATACATTTAGGAAGTTTTATCCTTAGCTGAGGGTCTTTAGGAAAAGGTTTGGATTTATTATATTAAAAATGGATATGCTCTTTAAGCTATTAATTACAATGACCTATAATCTAAGTTCAGACTTAAAATGAAGTGAGAATAGTGCAAAAATGAAAATAAATCTCTGGAACTTATTCATAGCATATGCTTCTTGTAAGTAGAATAAACATGTTCTAGGTTAATTTGCTGTTGTTTACCTGTGGTGCAAATTAAGCTGGTTTGGATTTGGGCTGTGTTCTCATACATTATACTTGGAGCATTGAATAACTAGGATCATGTTGAATATCATAGTAGTGTAATAGAAGATTGAGAACAAAATGGCATCCTGGAATTTGTAGTTCAGAGTGCCAAACATAATCTTAGCTTTGGAAGTTTCTTGGGTTTATCAAGAGTTTTGAAGCAGCAGTAGAGAGACAGTGTCCTCAGCCCTGCCTAGGACTTAATGAGTTACACTGGAAAGAACCAGCACAAGACCAATAAATGAGGAGAAACCAAAAGGAAAAACTGAAAGGATTGACTCAAAGTTAAAAAGGAAAGTATGACTTTGCTATATAAACAGGAAAGATCAAGGAGGCCATCAGATTCCTATAGGGATCTCAAAGCAGAAGACTCCAACAGAGGTTATTGGTTGTATCCATTTTTTCAAGGACTGAGAAAAGGTTAAAAATTGGCTCTTTTCTCAACTGATTGGCAGGTCTAGTAACAAATATAGTTACATCCATAACATTTCTTTTACTTAAACATTTTAGATTTTCTGATTCTTTTGAATCAACCCTAAAGAGGTCTGGGTTTAGCTACAGAAAAATATAAATTTAAATTAGGGCAGAGAGCCAAACCAATGCCTGAATATTGGGAATTTTCCTAACCAGGAGTTCTAACCTATAGTGGTTTTACTAATAACTTTTCATTTGATAAAACTCTGTAAAATAGCAGAGGTGGAGACCACAACTTGAGGAGACATTGTATTTTTCACTAGGCTAAAAGTTAGATAATTGTTATAGCAGTGTGTGACTAATTAAGTCTCCAAATAGAAGGATAGAAAGGAAAGAATTGTGGCCAAAGAAAAGGTCATAAATTTGAACTAGTATTCTGCTTCCCTCTCTACCCCCCATACCTGCCTCTTGTGAGAATACAGTCATGACCTAGGATATATTCAACTCTGCTCTATCCATCAGAGAGGAGGGAGTAGAAAAGAGTAATAGATATCCAACATTTTGCTTTCTAGAAACACCCAACAGTGTTACAAGAAGTAAATTAAGATCTAAACCAGCAGACTGGACTTTCTGTTATTATTAAGCACTTCTTATATACTAGGCACTGTGCTATAATGTTGGGGATACAAAGATAAAATTGAAAAAGTCATGGCCTTCAAGGAGCTTATGTTCTAATGGTAGGGACAGTATATATCCACGTATTTATAAAAAGAAGATATGCAAAATGAATGCAAAATTTTGGGAAGGCAGCACATGAGTAACTTGAATTAGCTGTTAATGAATTGTAAAAATGACATCACCTATAATTTGATTCATTTGGAGAGATGCTAGCATATTCTATAGATTATTTTATTTTATTATTTAAAAGATTCATCAATATATTTATTTTTAGTTTTCAACATTCACTTCCACAAGATTTTGAGTTCCCAATTTTCTCCCCATCTCATCCCTCCCCCAATCCCAAGACAGAGTGCATTCTGAATACCCTTTCCCCTAATCTGCCCTCCCTTCTATCTTCCCCCTCTTCTCTTATCCCCTTCCCCTTCTGTTTTCCTGTAGGGCAGGACAAAATTCTATACCCCATTGCCTGTATGTCTTATTTCCCAGTTGTGTGTGAATTTTAAAAAAAATATTTGTTATTAAATAATATTAAAATTAAATTATATTTTAATATTTGTTGTTAAAACTTTGGGTTCCACACCCACCCTCATTGAGAAGGCAAGCAACTTGATACAGTTTATACTTGTGTAGTCATGCAAAACACTTCCATAGTAGTCATGCTGTGGAAAACTAACTATATTTCCTTTCATTCTAACCCATCCCCCATTTATTCTGTTCTCTCTTTTGACCCTGTCCCTCCTCAGAAATGTTTGCTTCTGATTGCCACCTCCCACAATCTGCCCTCCCTTCTATCATACCCTGGCCCCCTAACCCCCTACCCCCTATTTTCCTGTAGCATAAGATAGCTTTCCATAATCAGTTGAGTGTGTATGTTATTCCCTCCTTAAGCCAAATCCAATAATAAGATTCACTCATTCCCTCTCACCTTCCCCCACTTTCCCTCCACTATAAAAGCCTTTTCTTGTCTGTTTAACGTGAGATAATTTACCCCATTCTACCTCTCCTTGACCTGGGAACTCTGGAATTTGGCTACAATATTCCTAGGAGTTTTCCTTTGGGGATTTTTTTTCAGGAGGTGATCAGCGGATCCTTTCCATTTCTATTTTACCCTCTGGTTCTGGAACATCAGGGCAGTTTTCTTTCATAATTTCTTGAAAGATGATGTCTAGACTCTTTTTTGGATCATGGCTTTCAGATAGTCCAAAACTTTTAAAATTATCTCTCCTGGATCTATTTTCCAGGTCAGTTGTTTTCCCAATAAGATATTTCACATTGTCTTCTATTTTTTTCTTTCTTTAGATTTTGTTTTGCTGTGTCTTGATTTCTCATAAAGTCACTAGCTTCCAATTGCTCCATTCTAATTTTTAAGGAAGTATTTTCTTCAGTGAGCTTTTAGACTTCCATTTCCATCTGGCCAATTCTGCTTTTGAAGGCATTCTTCTCATTGGCTTTTCGAACCTCTTTTTCCATTTGGGTTAGACTATTTTTTTTTAAGGTGTTATTTTCTTTGGTATTTTTTTGGGTCTCCTTTAGCAAGCTGTTGACTAGTTTTTCATGATTTTCTTGCATCACTCTCATTTCTCTTCCAAGTTTTTCATCTACTTCTCTTACTTGCTTCTCAAAATCCTTTTTGAGCTCTTCCATGGCCTGGGAGTGATTCATATTTTTCTTGGAGGCTTTGGATGTAGGAGCTTTGACTTTGTTATCTTCTTCTGATTGTATGTTTTGATCTTCTTTGTCACCAAAGAAAGATTTTATGGTCTGACTTTTTTTGCAGTTTGCTCATGATCCCAGCCAATTACTTGAGGTTTAAACTCTTTGTTAAGGTAGGGGTCTGCTTCTAGTGAGGAGAATGTGCTGTCTCAAGCTTTAGGGGTTTTTGTGCAGCTGTTTGCAGAGATACTTCAAGGGACCTTTAAGTTTTCAATTCTTCCAATGTGGTAAGATTTAGGTGAGATGTTTACTCCTTTCCTGGACTGTGTGCTGGTCTATGAGTGACCACAAGCACTCTTTTCTGCTTTGGAACTGTGAGGAGGATTCTCTCTTCACCACTAACACAAGCTCCACCATGCTAGTGCTCCTCGCTCCAGGACTACCACTCAGAATTGTGACCCTGATCCAAGCATAGGCAAAGCAGGAGAATCCTGCTTCAGCACTAGCAAAGAGATCCCTGCAAGCCTTCTCTGATCAGCCACTCAATTATTCCCCCTCAGTCTGTGGGCTGGAAGTTCCAAAAGTAGCTGCCTCCTGGGACAGTGCCAGGACTGAGGCTGGGATGAGCTTCTCTCTCATCACGGTCACTAAGTTGTCTTTGGCATTCATGGATTGAGAAGTCTGGAAACTGCCATAGCTGCCTGTGATTCAGTACCCTGAGGCCTGCTCCAGGTTCACTGAGACCTATTTTGCCTGCACACTCATGCTGAACTGAGCTCCTCTCCCAGCCTGGTGCTTTCTAATCAACCATCTGGGTTGTCTTGGGCTGGAAATTTGTTTTGTCTTTTTGTGAGTTCTGCTCCTTTAGAATTTGTTTAGAGTCATTTTATAGGTATTTGGAGGGGTTTGGGGGAGAGCTCAAGCAAGTCACTGATTTTACTCTGCCATCTTGGCTCCACTCCTTTATAGATTATTTTTTTTTTCTTAAATAAAAGGTTTATTCGCTCTAGGATCAGGGGGTGCTTCGTCAAAGAGACCAAAGCCCATGTCGTCGCAGGACTCCTCAGACTCCTCTTTCTTCTCTTCCTTCTTCTCCTCTGTGGAAGCAGGGGCAGCGCTAGCAGCAGCCGGGGCAGTGGAGCCAGCACTGGCAGCGACAGTGACAGCACCCCTGGTGGGCATGGAGGCCAGCTTACTGCTCCCCTGGGTGATCACATCTTCTATGTTCTTGCCACTCAGCTCATTGATGACCTTCTTCAGCCGCTCCTCGTCTGTCTCGATGCCCACGCTGTCCAAGATCTTCTTCGGGTCCTTGGAGTTGGGGGAATTGTTGCCACCAAGGACGACCAGGAGGTAGGCTGCCACATAGCGCATTTCGACGGTCTGGGCTCTACTCAGGTCCGGTCTGGTGGTCGCAACCTAGCGCTGCAGAAACGGCGGGAGTGGCGGCGGGCGCAGCAAGTCCAACCTTAGCGGAGTCCAGGCCGGGAAAGTTATAGATTATTGTAGACTATTTTAAAAGATTTTGTAAGGAGGCAAAATTTTTCTGAAACCTGTACTATAACATTTTCAGTTCAGGGAATGATATTTCAAAACTATTTGAACTGCTATTGAGAGGGGAAATAATATGTTCTAAAAATTTGTAAAGCTTCAATTTGTCTTTGATATTTTGATTTTTGATTCCTTTTTTTTGATTTTGATTCCTTTCCTTTAAGAGGTTTCCAATTCGATAAACATGTATTATGTGGCTATCATATGTAAGGCATTTTGCTGGGAAATAGCAAGCTTAAAAACAAAACAAAGCAGTATGCACAGACTTTAGAGAACTTACGTAATCGTCATCCTCATAACTAGTATTGCTTTACTATTTGAAAAGAACTTTAGAAATATAATCTTTATAATCACCCTGGATGCTGTTATTATCCTTATTTTATGGATAAGCAAAAATGAGGCAGACAGAGGTTAAATGACTTGCCCAGAGTTGCATTTAGTAAATGTCTGATGCAAGATTTGAACTCAGATCTTCCTGATTCTAAACCCAGTGCTTTTTATATTGTCACCTAGTTGCCTCCATAGATTATATATTACCTGTGTATGATGTTTTGTATTATACACATATACAATGCTATTTTAATAGAGAATATTATATAATGTTTCATGTATCATACATTATATATTTATAGATGGAATAAAATATATATGAATAAGTACAATGAAAGGCTATATTTTCTAGAGGAAAAGGTATAGAAAGTACTAAGGCAGGTTTTACAGCAAGCATGAGCCCATCAGGAAAGTGCTATGCAAAATTTGAGGTTGGAGAGATCATTTTCAACTGAGTCAGAAAGATTAAAGGAGGAGATAAGGTCTGAGGAAATAGGACATTGAATAATGAGAAAACTTTCAATAACAGTATTTGTGGAAGGCTGTTGTGGGAAGCCATGGGGAAGAGATAGGTGAGAACAAATGCACAGATTCAATAAGGAGTGAAGAAAATTGGGGAATGCTATGAGTTCAGTTTATAAACTCAGTTCAATCAGTAAACATGTATTAAGTATCTACTATGTGCCAGGCATTGTGCTAAAGAAGAAAAAGACAGTGGTAGAGAACATGTAAACAACTATTTATAAACAAGCTATATGTGGGATAAATTGGAGATAATCAACAGAGTTAAGGTATCAGAATTAAAGAGGTTTGGGAAAGGTTTCCTGTAAAAGGAAAGTAAGCCAGGGAAGCCAGGAAGTGGTGAAGAGAAGGAAGAGTATTCTCTAAGACCATATAGGCTCAAGAAATAGGCCATGAAAGAATTATTGATAGGTGGCGCAGTGGATAGAGCACCAGCCCTGAAGTCAGGAGGACCTGAGTTCAAATTGGGCCTCAGACCAAACACTTGTCACTTACTAGCTGTGTGACCCTGGGCAAGTCACTTAACCCCAATTGCTTAATAAAAAAAGAATTATTGAGCTCCCCTAAATTAGAATGAAAGCTGGTGTAACTTTTGAGAACAAATATTATTTTGGTTCCATGAGGAAGTAATAGAGAATAATGTCTGTAGGAGAGTATTTTAAATATTATGAACTCTATTGATGCTAGGAATTATTGTTAATTTTAGTTATGTTCATTTTTTTTCTCATGGGGCTTTATTTTTGTTAAAGTCATTCCAATTTCTTTCTGCAGTTGGGTCTATAGCCCCATTGTCATTTGGCTTGGCTCCATATATGTTTTTTGTTTCCTCCATGGAGAACTAGAGTAGTCTGCAATTCATAAATCATGGACAAATTTTCAGCTTTCCGAATGTTCATTAATCTGTCAAGATTTATGTTCTTTCGGATGGAGGAAATGTGTTGTATCTTATCAACATAAAGTGGGCATAGCTTAGTAGAGAGTGCTGACAGACAAGAAGGGCTTCAGGCCCCAGTATATGTGGGCCAGGATGAACATTCTTCCCTCAGAGGCAGGTTTTTCAGCAGGCTTGAGCCCATCAGGAAACAAGCTCTGCATCTCTGGGCACATCACTTATTAGGCCTTAAGACTGACCTGAGGACTGACGCCTGTGCTCTTGTCTGGATCTCTCAGCATGCAGAAATGCTAGATGTATTGCCAATGGCCTCTTTTTCCTCTCTTTTTACTACTGTTGTTACTGATTGAGGGAAATTTCAGAGTGCATGTGTGGGAGTGAATATAAAACAGATCGTTCACATTAAGAAGCAGTATATAATACTTTACATTTGAAGAGATGCACATCGTCCTTCACACTTCCTTATATCACCAAGTACCATCATTTTATTCATGCATTTTACATAGAGCAGATAAAAGATATTCCTTCTTGGACAGCAGATGCTCATAAATCAGAAGAGTTACTAGGAAGGACTGTCAGATCTCTCTAGCAGTCAATAACCAAATTAATTGATCCATCAAGTAGGTAGCAAATCATTCATGTTACAAGAATTTTATATATATTTTTATATGTAAATATATATATACACACATATGTATGTGCATATTATATATAATGTTACATATGTGTATGTGATATATATATTCCATGCAAATATATTATCTTTGTACATTTTATTAATCATTAATCTATAAAGATTTATTAAATACCTACTACGTGCCAGGCCCTGTGCTAAGTGCTGGGAATACAAAAAGAGGCAAAGACAATCTCTTCCCTCAAGGAGAGTTTATTCTAATGGGGGAGACAACTACATATACAAAAATATCTGTTTATATGCATATATTTTGCTTAAAATATATTCACACAGCTATTTTTACAAATATAGTAAAGTTTTAAGCTGCAATACCTTATATATGTGTTTGAGTGTGTGTATATACATATGTACATATTCATATACACATACATACACACATATCTGTATATATTTTGCAATTATAAGACAAAGCCCTCAGAATTAATAAATCAATTGGTAATGAACAAGTATTTTTCTTCCATGAACTATACCATGATACCTCCTTCTCATGCATTAGATAAGCTAGTAATATTATAATCCTATATGGAGGAAGATATTACTATTTTGAATTACAATTTGACCTGCAGTAGACTTAAGCCTAAGTAATAATGAGCTCCTTTAGAATAGTATCACTTTTTAGTTAATAGTGACAATTCTGACCCTTCTGTTTCAATATGAAGTTATGTGTCCTTTATGGGCACAACATTTTAGCATTTTTTGGTACTATTTCTGATACTGGATCCATTGGTTTATACAGGTTTGATTTTTAAGCGCTCAAATATTAACAGATATAGATGGGTCTTTCAATTTTACTTTGCTACTGGGCAAGGACACAGCTGTGCCTCTGAGAGCACAGGTAGGGAAGTGGAAATATTTAAATTAAATATTCAGATAATTAAGATTAGCTCAAAATAAGCCTGCAAAGTTAGACTAATTGGCCCCATGCTTACACTAAGCCTCTTATCAGAGCCAGGCTATTTTCTGGAACATTTTTCAAGTCAGTAATATGATCACTGCTACTTTGGCCTCATTCGGTCTTTGCCTCGCTCTGTCATTGTTCTCACCAGGTTGTTTCATTTGTGGGCCCCACAGATTGGCTCAGATATGCTAGATTGCTTCAGTGTCTTCTCCTGTCACTTTTGACACTGATTGACCCTATCTGCTGCAGAGAAGTGGTAATACACTGTTTCAATCTGACTGTTTTCATGACTTCTTTTGTAACAAAAGAAAAAAGATTTTGACCCTCTTGATATAAGTTTGAACTAGTATCCATGTGGGCAAAACATAGAAGCTAGAGAGAATAATCTTTTAACACATTTTTCAAAAGGATTTCCTGTTCCTGTAGGGGTTTGGGTTAAATCAATGAATTTTGTTCTCCAGGCTGTCTTAGCCTTTATTATCACTGTCTACACCATAACCTCCATTGTTATCTATGGGGACATTAGAAAACTCACAAAAGCACATAACCTGGAGATATTAATGAAGGGATTTGATTGATGAAAAAATTGTGCTGGTATTTCATAAACTACTTCCCCTAAAATAGATGCTAATTATATGCTGCATACCTCACGTTTTCATTCTACTGTTTAGTTAAGGGAATCTAATTATGCACTTATTATCATGGTCTAACAGCAATTATCAGATAACGTCACATTTTGTGAAACATACTGTGATAATTATACATGTTTTTATAACAATTAATAAGCTTTTAAATGCCTGAAGAGAAGGTACTGAGTAACCTGAACTCCCTCCTTCATGGTAATTCATCCCAGTTGGGAGAGCGAAGCTATAGTTGCAGATGGCAGCAATGAGTCAAATTGAGGAATGTTGGATGAGAACTCAGTTTAAACTGAAACAAAATGTACCATGGATTCTCCAACTTGTTTGATTTCCATTCTCAGTCATCCTTGTACCATGAATGTTGAGCTAATTTAACCTCCTATCATCACTCTCTTCTTTCTCCAATTTTGTCGGCCAATCCTGTCCACATTCAGGGGCAACATCAAATTACTCTTTGGGGGGCATTATAGATCATCTAGTTCAACTCCCTTATTTCACAGAAAAGGAAACTGAGGCCCAGGAAGAACCAACTTGCTTAAAGCCATACAGATGAGTAAGTAGCCAAGCAGGGCTTCAGGTCCAGGTCTTTTATTTACAAATTCAGTGCCCAACACCATCAGTTTCTGTTCCCCAGTGGATCATGTTTTCCCCTTGTCAGACAGTTCTCAAAGATACAAATATTTCTTCTTGGTACCTCAGTTTTCTTAATGAATGAAAATTTGTCTTATTCCACACTTGTTGGATTTCTTGTTGTTTACATCTACCTGCTCAGTTGTTCTTAACAATAGGATAGCTTATCAAATGACAACCCAATTGTTTCTTAGCTTTTAAAATTGGATGTTGGGT